CCATCCATCCGTCCATCCATCCACCCACCCATCCATCCACCCACCCACCCACCCATCTCTACCGATTGTAAAGCACTTTGGTCAGTTCTGTTTTCAAATGTGCTATACAAATAAATTTTGAATTTTGAATTTGAATCCATCCATCCGTGTGATTTAAAAGACTGAATAGACTCGGCGGTACGAACATGAACAGGGAGGTTATTCTAGGTGCTACGGTTGCAAAGGCCCGGTCTCCTCTCGACTTCAGTCGAGACCTGGGTTGAGCTAGGAGCATCTGATTGGACGATCTTTGTGCTCTATTGGGATTGTACAAGTGGAGGAGTTTGGAAAGATAGCTGGGCGCTAAATTATTTAGAATTTTAAAAGTGAACAAAAGAATTTTAAAATCGATACGATATTTAACAGGGAGCCAGTGTAAGTTGGCTAAAATTGGAGTGATGTGTTCATAGATTCTTGTACCTGTCAAGAGACGCGCAGCTGCATTCTGAACTACCTGAAGCCGGTAAAGAGACGAGTGTTGGAGGCCCAAGTAGAGGGAGTTACAGTAGTCCAGTCTGGATGTGATAAATGCGTGGATTTGGATTTTGGCTAAATCAAAAGCTTTGCTGTTGCTATAAAGTTAAGTTATAAATAAAAACCCATCATGATGCTATTTTTAAAAGCATCCACCTGGAACCTTTGTGCAGTGTAACAGATATTTTCATCTCGGGGTGTACGAGCGTCTTACGGGTTTCTTGCCGACCACCATCCTCTCCACCGCCTGGACCTGGGACACGTGGTCATCGTTTGTCCTAAGCTCCCACTTCTGGATTCTTCCATAGATCGCCACCAGCAGGTCCCGGGGAATGTCTTGACCATTATCGACACCTGTTGGGATCACAGGTAAGAGTTTGACATGTATCTTTTGTGCAGGCACAATGTTTACTCCTGTTTTATCATCCGGTGCTTCCTTTCCTCAGTTCATCCACATGGCTGGCTGCTGTCTGCGACTGTGATCTCAGTGACTGTCTGTGCCATGCTTAGTCAGATTTGTTCCAGCTGTCGTCAGACAAAAATGTGTCATTCTCTAGAAATCTGACGTTAAGCGTTTTGGCTAAATTGATGAGTCACAGACAGAAACAGCACAAACACCAGCAAAGTTTCACTCTTAGCTTCAGAGCACACTGCAGTGCTGCACCGAGTGTTTCACTCTGGATCTCATCAGTTAAATGAGATGAGAATGAACAGCAAACTGCTGTGTTGTTTTAGCCACATGCTAACGGTTAAATAATGCTTCAAGCGGGTAAAAAATCCTTTAACATGGAGCGGACATTGTCCACACCAGGAGGAGGTCAAGAGGTTTCAGCCTCTTTCCTAAACTGTAGTTTTACCATTTATTTGTTGCAGGTTTATGAGGTGTTACATGACGACAGCCTGCAGCATTTCTGCTGCTCTCAGACTCAAACACTGATTTTAACATTTTACAGCCCTGCATCGTTTCAGACTGATTATGGGGGCGCTGCTATACGGACCACGCAGGTTCTTGATGAAGTCCTCGAGCTTCATCTTCCTCTCCGGCTTCACGTTGGGGCTGTACATGTCTGTGTTGAGGAGGATGATGGCAAAGGCCAGGATAAAGATGGTGTCTGGATTCTGGAACTGCCGGATCAGCACCGGGTTACAAACGCAGTATCGCTGACTGCAGAGCGAGAGAAAGGGGAGCATCACAAACTGCACAGACGACTCAGCTCTTTGATATTTGATCAAACCCTCCGCGACGCAGTTTAATACCTGAAGGCCTCCACCAGCCGCTCCACCCGCTGGGCTTCACCCTGAACTTTGATCTGAGCTTGGAACTTCCTCAGAGCATCGTCCAGATCCATCCCTGAGAAATCCATCTCATCCAGGACACAGCTAAAGAAAGAGACAGAAAACGCTGATCATTATCCACAAACGCATTCCTTAAGCCTCGTCTTCACCTACTCCTGACAGCTCAGAGGCCTGTGAAGCAGGAGTCGGGGTTTAATGTGGTCCCTTCAGGTTTAAGGCTGTGTTTCAATACTATGAAGGTAGTTAATGATTCTCTGAGGTACATCACCGCTCATACCGCCTTACCTGGTGCAGAGCATGGTATGTTTAAGATAAGATATGAAACCACTGCCTATTGACCCACCAGTTCTCTGGAAAACAATGTCAGCATTTCCAGAAGATCCCCCCGAGGTAGCAGGATGTCCTGAAGAGTTAGAGGTTATCTAAAGTCGTCTTTCTCAGTAAATATCAATAAAAAATACAAATCCGTGCATGGATGAATTTATTGGATGGGATGATATGATTCAACACAGTGATGTATTACAGGCTTTGTTCATGTTCTCAGTCATTTCTCTCAGACTGTGAGAGCTGCAGCTGAAACGATCTGTAAAAGCAGACTTAAGTCACTGGATACTTTAATTAGAGTCAGATCTTTCTGTGCTGTTAATGATAAACACATTCACTGCCAGCTTTCCTCCCTGGCTTTAGATAGACTGCAGCTTTCTTTCTGCTTCACCACCCTGTGAAGGTATGTCTTTCACCCCAGTCAAAGCTAAACTTTCACTGTTTTCAATAATTATCGCTCAGTTAGGACAAGCCTACCTTGTAACCACATAAACGCAGACACCTGTCCACAGTAAAACATTCACTGAAAGGACTTTAACATTTGCACTCACTCAAGGACGTCTTTGTTGAACTGCTGCCGGCTTCCCAGAAACTCTCCGATCATCTGCCTGCTTAGGCCTTTCCTCTCCAGGATGAAGCGGGCGATGCCCACTGGCGTGTCTGACACAAACCCCCTCTCGATCAGGTACTGGATCCCCTTCTCCGGCTTCCTGTAGACCAGAGGAAACACGGCCTCTTAAGTTGTTTGCTCTGGGACTGAAATTCTTTTTATTGGTTGTCTTGTTTTTATTGGTTGCTCCGTTCTACGCTGCTGAGAAGTCTAATATTTTGGCTTTTTAAAATTCTGATACATAAAAAAAACTCCTCTAAACTTAGAAACTTAATTTCAGTAAAACATTCAGAGAGTCCAGAGAATTCTCTGTACACATGGGAGCAGGTTAAAAACCAACACTGGATGGCAGTGCTCTCTTCAGCCCCTCCACACGATCTAACATTTAAAGCTAACATCTAACTTGTTATCAACAACAGTACGGGTAACTTAAACGTCCACGAAGCCATCATTAATGCTGAATGAAACATTCTAACAACACGACTCACTAACTTCCTCAGAGCGTCGTCCAGGAAGTTCCAAGCTAACTATGTATTAACAGACCTCTCAGCATTGAATCATATCTGTTATTAACCTCTGTCTCTCTTCCACAGCATGTCTTTATCCTGTCTTCCTTCTCTCACCCCAACCAATCACAGCAGATGGCCCCGCCCCTCCCTGAGCCTGGTTCTGCTGGAGGTTTCTTCCTGTTAAAAGGGAGTTTTTCCTTCCCACTGTCACCAAAGTGCTGCTCATAGGGGGTCATATGATTGTTGGGTTTTTCTCTGTATCTATTATTGTAGGATCTACTGTACAATATAAAGCGCCTTGAGGCGACTGTTGTTGTGATTTGGAGCTGTAGAAATAAAATTAAATTGAATGACACTGCTGCTAACAGTGTGGGTGCTTATCTCTCCACCCCCCTGCTCAGAAATAAGGACACAACCAAGAAGGCTCTGAACTGTTGTCAGACGAAGAAGAGATGGTCTGACACTAAGCAGCCCTGATTGCACACTCGGGCTGGGTTACATATGTTGTTCTGTTTGCTGCAGTATGAGCAGACAGTTTCCTCCATGTTGTACTTTTGTGTCTGACATCAGGTGTTACTGATCTGACTTATGCCTGGATTCTTTGAACTCACAGGAGGCCGATTATTGCTCTGAGTCTTCTGGATTATGTTTGCAGACGTTCTTACTTGTTGAATAAGTTGAGTCCAATGCGGTACTGCCGCCGCTGCACCACGTCGTTGTTGAACGCAGGTGAGTCCCAGCTATGACGGCTCTCCCTTTGATAGGTCTGCTTTCCCAGCGCAGCTCCTCCGATTGGCTCCCGGAGGCTGTCGCGGGACGAGGAGCCGGAGCTGCAGTTGTTGACCGTTGTGTCATCGTTGGAGTTGGTGGTGGTGGAGTTGACGCTCTCGTTGTCTCCATCAGAGCAGAGCAGGTGGTGGTGGTGGAGGTGGGGGTGGTGAGCGTGGTGCTGCTGCGCCTCCATGCTTTGGAGCGCAGAGGAGGACGAGGACAGCGGCGAGGGCGTCAGCGGTGGCAGGGGGGAGAGAGGTGTGAGGGGCGGTACGGGAGATGGCAGCGGGGAAGAAGGGGGTTCGGGGTAAGCGTGAGGGAGGTGGTGGTGTTGATGGTGCAGGTGGTGGTAGTGGTGCTGGGCGAAGTGGTGAGCGTGCTGCATGTAAGGGCTGCCGCCGTGTCCGTGGTGCATGTGCATCAGGTGATGCTGGGTGTACTGAGGGTGGTGGTCGAGGATGGTGGGGAGGTGGGGGATGGGTGAAGGGTGAGGGTGGGGGTGCTGGAGTGGGTGAGGGAGCGGGTGCGAGGGCAGGGTGCGGGCCGAAGGCATCGGCAGGGGGACGTTGGAGGGGCTGCGAGTCTGTCCCTGCGCCGTGGCGACCGAGCGGCCGTTGGGTTTGTGTTTGATGGTTCCCTGCGGAGATTCGGCTTCGCTGCTTCCTCCGCCTCCTCCACCTCGCTCATCTTCTCCGCTTTCACCTTCCACTCCTCCCCCCCTCCTATCCCTCTCCCCACTTCCTCCCCGCTCGACTCCTGACGGCTCCTGTTCGTACACCAGGCGTCCGATAGACCCTCGCTCTGACCTGAAGATGGGAACGATACAATGAATTATGACTGCACATCTTCTAGTCACCTGATTCTAATGGAGCAAAGCGGTAATCATACTGACGGAGGATTGTAAGGATGTGGAATGGAAAAATACAGGCTGTTATATAAAGTAAAAGGTTGAGCCTATAAACATAAGAGTAAAATCACTACATTAGAAACACAGCAGGGTTCAGGCACTTTAATAAAGTCTCACTTTCATTTAGACCTCCTTTAAAAGGTGAACGTAGCTTCCAGGCTTGACGGTGAAGTAGAGCTGGGCGATAGAACGAGAACGATATGTATTGCGAAATAACTTTTTCTCGATAGAAAAATTAAACTATTGCGATAGGCCTCACCGCTCTTGTTCTCTTAAAAAACATAAAAAAGAACAGCCAATCCAAATTAAGTAGCACAGAGCCGAACCAATCCCAGCTGCAGCGTCACGTCACGTGACTTGTTACGTACAGCACAAGTGCCAAGCCGCACGTGTGTATTTGTTTGGGAAGCCGCCAGCCGCCATGCCGCCCGGGTAATGGAGGAAATGAGTGTGCCGACTAGAGAAAAATCAACCGAGAGCGCGACCGAAGGTTACCGAAGAGAAAACAGATGATGGTTCCAACGCCGGAGAGATTGTCAAACGGAAGAGCCACAGAAGCTCCGTAGTGTGAAGGTATTTCGACTATTTCAAGTCTGACAAAAAACAGAGTAGCGTGCACTGTAAATTGTGCCGGAAGCAAGTCTGGAAATACAATAAAGCGGTGCAGCTCAGTCTCTGACTGGAAGCGCTGATTCGTCATTCGGCTTTTGTCAGACTAAAGTAACTGTTAAAACTGTTTGAAAAGCTCAGCTATACAACAAGGAGAGATTGAGAATTTCCTTTTAGTTCTCAGTTTATTTAATGTTGACAAAAGTTAGTCAATTTTGTCTGTTCTTCTGTAAAACCAAGATTTATTTTTAGAATTAATAATCGCCTTTTGTGTAGTTTGCAATATTTGCCTTTATTTATCTGAAAAAGTCTCATGTTAAGTACATCTACCCTGTTGAACTTATTATGGGAAATAAATATTTAAATAAAAACAAGCTGCTGATTATTTCACATTTTACTTGTGAGCAACGGCACATTTAAATCTTACAAATATAGTTATTTGGCCGTTATATGTGACTGATACTCGTTTCGCCTTAAATGAAAAAAGACATATTCGTGATATGAAAAATCTCATATCGCCCAGCTTACAGTGAATCATTCATTAAAGTTCCTGCAGTGTTTCTAAGGGTCAGCAGTGACGAGCTGGAAGCTCATCTTTTAAATATGGACTTCATGTGTTCATGTGAAGTATTGACTAATTTCAAACGTCTTGCAGGAATTTTGTGTTTTGACCGTGCATGCGACCTTGTCCTACAGCGCCCCCTGGTGAGGACGCTCGCGTCTGCGTCTGTTGTCATGCAGATTCTGAACGAGTTCATCCAGAAAGCGAAACGAGACGTTTAAGTGCTGCTGACCTGTCGCTCATGTCCACTGAGCTGTCGCTGGGCGGTTCGATGGTCAGGACGGGGAGATGTCCTCCTCCTCCACCCCTGCCTCTGTACTCGCCCCGACACTCTGTGCAGGGGGTGCTGCTCCTCCGGCTCGTGTTGCTGCCTCCCTCCGTCTCCCTGCTGTCTTCTCTCCCCCCTGCACTTCCTCCTCCCCCTCCTCCCCAGTACTCTGTATCAGAACTGGAGGCGGGACGGGACAGCGGCGAGGAGGGGAGGCAGCCTTCATCCATGTACAGGGTGACATCACTGAAGGAGGTAGCGGTGCTGTCCTCATGCATGGAGGCACCTCCTCCTGCCCCCGCCCTCCCCCCTCCTCCCCCCGTCCGGCCCGCAGCACGTCGGGAAGATGTCGTGCTGTTGCGCCACGCACACTGTCTGTAGTCTTCCTCCTCATCTTCCTCCTCGTCCTCTTCCCCTTCTTCCTCCTCCTCTTCTTCCTCCTCATCGCCCTCCTCTTCGTCCTCGTCATCGTCCTCCTCTCCATCTCCTCCCGCTTCCTGTGAGTCTTCACGGCCGGACTGGCAGGTGAGGGAGTCGTCCATGGAGTCTGCCAAGGACTTAACCTGCAGTGCACGAACGTAACGTCACGACACAGAAAATACAGAGAAAAAATATCCCGAGCTGACGATGAGAAGGTCAGAAGAAGAAAATCGCTGCACAACTCCTGTCAGGAGAAAGACGGCTGTGGAAATCTGCACTCATGTTTCTTTCTGTTTGTTTGACCTTTGCTGAGAGACGGCCAAGAATCTGCCGCAGGATGGGAAGAGACTCCCGGGGATCCGCTCTAATCACTTCTGATTCATTTTCATTTAGCTTCAGGAAACTCTGGGACATCCAGCACTTTATAACAGATATACAAGATATCAGCTGAGTTAGGCTGACTTCTTTGTTAGTTTTTAATATAATATACATCTGTGTGTGTGTCATTGCATAAAAAAGGATAAAATCATGTTTGCAAATGACATGAGTACTTGGAGGCACAAAAATGGAAGATGAGTCAGGAAAGGGGCAAAAACAGAAAATCGTTTCTGGTTAGGAAAGGATTAAAACGATTACTTTTCTGCTTATCAGGAAAAGAATGACTCCACCAATCCTCACACTGAGTGCCTCGCCTACGCGGATATTTATTTGTTCAGTTTTAGGCTCAAGGTAACAGTTCCTGCACAATCCAGCGGGCTTTTAATTTGAAACATCTACGCATACAAATATGTTAAGGTCCGCCTATTAGCATTTTCTAAAACTTTGAAACGCATCTCCTGTCTCAGAGGACGGAGATTCCTCAGCATCCATTGGCCCCAATCAATGAACATTTACTTCCAAACCTGCACTTCAGTGACTGTTTCAGTGTTAATTGCTGCCCTGACAGCTGGGACAGCAGCTGCTAACAGTCCTGTAGTTGAAAGCTTGTTTGTGGGGCTCCACAGGGATCATTGTCTGGGCCAATTCATTTTCCAATAATCGCGACTCTTTTAAGACCATCCAGCATTTAGCAGAGATTTTCTCCCTTTTAAACTCAGAATATTCAAACACTTCTAGAGGTTAACTGCTGAAAATAAAGCTTCCCCAGATTCCTATTGTATTTACTGGCAACCTCTGATTTAGTAGCTTTATAAACCAAAATGAGCAGTTTTGTTTCAGCTTTGGAGAATCTCAAAGACTCAAAGACTTTAATAATCTAGATAGTATTATGTGTGAACTAAAAAATGTACAGACTATGACAAAATGAGTTTATTTTCATTGATCAGCAGCAAGTCTGAGATTACTTTTGAAACTTTACATATTACTTTTAAAAGGTCGGATGGTCCTGAGCTATAACTCAGACCTTTTGAGGACTTAAAAAGAAGCAACTGGACTTCTTTAGGTTCATGAAGGTGTTTTACTCGATAAACTTCACCAAGCAGACACACCTATGGCATCAATTTCAAAATCCTACGTCACCTCGTTTTCAAGTTATTTCATTCACAAGATTTTCAGAAGATTTGACCTCTGAACTCAGGTAGGCCAAGGTTACTTAGATTTGAACTCGTCTAAGAGTTTTAGTAGCTACACCTATGGCATCAATTTGAAGATTCTACGTTGCCTCGTTTTACGTTGCAGCCCCGCCCCGCTCTGTCCACGCAGCCCCCGCCCGTCCATCCACCCATCCTTGCAGCTTGGTGGGGTAATAACAATACCCCCGCATCCTTTTTTGCCTGAGGAATAATAATTACTATGTATCAACAAACTCTTTTATGAATGAATTATAATTATATTCCTTTATTGTAATAATGCTGTGCACGTTTTGCACATGTGTACTTCAGACCGTGTTCTTTAAATATTTTTCATGACTGTTGAAGATGCTCAAACATCTCTACCTGCTTAGAGAAGGAGTCGTCCACATCTCCGGCGTCCTCTGAGCCCTGCTGGCCTGGCGGTCCCTGACCCTGTGGTTGACGCTCATCAAATGAGTACTGCAGCCACCGAAGAAACAACGCATCATTAGAACAAACCGAGCAGAACCTGGTGTGTTTCATTATGTGCTTTTTTACAAGTGTGTGTGAGAGTGTGTGTACCTGCATCCTCATGTTGGACAGGATGATGCGGCGGGTCATCCTGCTCTCTGAGGCGGAGCTGCGAAGCCTCTCAAAGTTCTTGTTCATGCGATACTGCCTGAACGCCGTCTGGATCGTCTTCGCTGCCCGCCGGGACACGAACGGGCCCCCGTACTTCCTCTCAAGCATCTCCACCTATCAGGCCGTACGATCACGCAACCAAACAGAGAGGGAAGAGCAGAAACGATCTTTGCATTTACAGGAAACAGGAAACAAAACAGCAGAAACTTTCAGCGAACCTTTGTGATGTTGCGTGTTATGATGTGTGTAGTTTTGTGTTTTTAGTGAGTAAACCGAAAATTATTACACCGCTCGGCACATGTGACGGTTCCTAAACTGCAGTGGAAACAAAAGGAGCACGGACCAATAAGGAGGTTTGTTAAATGACGCCTCGTGCCTCCAAAGGCAGCTCTGCTCCTTAACTGCTAACATTTCTAACTATATACCTTTACTTTTGCTTCATTTGAAAGTAAATACATATTCTTTCACTAATTTTTCTCTTCCCTATGTAAACCTCCTTATTGGTCCATGCTCCACGTTGCTGTGTCTCTGCCTCTGTGTGCATTACGGATAAAAGGAAGGGCAGAAAATAAAGGTGTCCTGATGTGTCCTCTACCCTGCGGGTGATTGAAAAGGCTGCTTTGTAATGGAGGCGATTACATGGAAAACCTCTCACAGGAACCGCTCCAGTGGTGTTTTTAGAGGTGTTACTTATGAGGCCGACTTGTTGTGGCATTGTACCTTCTTGTCCTGGAGGTCTGTAGAGAGCTCATAGCTGTCAGATAGAGCCTTGCAGCGTTTGCTCTCCTCCTCCTCTTGCTTGCGGAGCGCCAGGCTGGCTGGCTGGTGTCGGCTGCGCTGAGCCCAGGCGAGGCTCGCTGGGCTGGGGGGCGAGATGGGTGAGCTGCCCTGGAAGAGGACATGATGAGAAGACATGTAATCAGATTTACTTCTGCTTTTATTTATTCAGGGTGACTTCAGGGAGACAGTACACATAATCCACTGATACAGGTTTTACTGTCAGACTGTTAATTTGGTCAAAAAAAAAAGTAAAGGGTTTAGTTTAATTATCTCTCAGCCGAACGTTGGATTAAAAAAAGAGATCAATGTGTTTAATTTATTCGTTGGAATAATTTGATCCGCGGTTTGAGCTCTGGACCTCTGTCATACAGCATCAACATCTGTTCCCCTGCCCCGGTGACCCACGAGATATCGCTGCTGTTTCAACCATGTTTGCTGGTTTAGATCAACTTTGTGTTCATTTGAAGCGAGCCCTTCCACCTTAAATGTCCCACTACAGCAGAACGGGGCCACCGAGCTCTTCACAGAGGGGATTAGGATTTTTACAAATGTGGCTGAAGGTGACACCTCCTTTCATAAGCTTCAGAATAAACTTCAGACACCTTTAGTAGCTGCAGATAGACGATGCATGTGTTTTAGGGTCGGTACCTGTGTATGTGTGTGGGAGGCTCCCAGGGGCCCACCGGAGGAGGGAGAGCCGTAGGGGTCACAGGGGCTGGAGAGGGGGCTGTTGCTATAGCGATGGAAGGGAGGTGGATGGCCAAAGGATGAATCAGAAAAGGTGAGTGCCTCCGGACACTGAGAGTCGCCCTCCACACTGCGAGGAAAGAGACAAAAACATGAGGAGAACGAGAGGACGGGTTATCCATCTGCAGATGCTGCTGATTTCAGGTGAAATCACGCTGAAATAATGAAACAGAAGGTGGGAGAGAAGCTGTGGGATGCAGAGAAGGAGGAGGAAACTTGATCCAAACAACTGAGAACAGAATCAGGACGGCAAGAAGGCGGAAGAATGGACTTAAAGAAAAGGAAAAGAAGAAAGGAAATCTGTTGGACAGATGGTGAGGTGGGGAGGAAGAGAAGGGAAAGGAAGGAAAGGAAGTTAAAGAGCAAACTGGAAGAAAGGGAAAAGAGAAAGATGAATAGATTCAGATAAAATAGCTGCACACTGACTAAACCGGACAAACTGACAGAACAAACCACACTTTACCAGAGGGTTAAACCTGACAAACTGGACCAAACCAGAGCAAACTGGCCTAATCCTGACTGCAATGAACTGGAACGGGTTTGTTCAAATCGACCATAATCAGATAAATCTCTGCCTCCATCTCACTCCATCACACCAACACTCTGCAGGTCCTTTTTCACTATATCCATGAATCTTCTCTCAGATCTTCCTGTTTTCCTCCCGCCCGGCAGCTCCATCCTCATCATCCCTCTGTCCAGAATATCCACCTCCAAAAATCAAACCACAAAACTGGACCTTACATAAAAACAAACTAAACACATCAAAAGGGTCAAATTAAACCCTTTGAACAGAGTAAATCAGCTGGATCAGCAACACTAAGTCAGATAAATACAAACTGAATGAAAAAGACCAAAACTGTAGCAAACTCCAATAAAACAAACCACAAAAGAATGTTACTGACATTTATTAAATGGCCTAATCACAGGTACAACCCAAACACAGTGGAACAAAAGTTCAACTGCACCTAACTGGGTCTAAGCTTGAAGAAACCCAGCAAAACCATCCATCCATCCATCCATCTGTCCATCCATCCATCCGTCCGTCCATCCATCCATCCATCCATCCATCCATCCTATCCATCCATCCATCCTCCATCCATCCAATCCATCCATCCATCCATCCATCCATCATCCTCATCCATCCATCATCCATCCATCCATCCATCATCCATCCGTCCATCCATCCGTCCATCCTATCCATCCATCCATCATCCATCATCCATCCGTCCATCATCCATCCATCCGTCATTCCATCCATCCATCCGTCCGTCCGTCCGTCATCCATCCATCCATCCATCCATCCATCCATCCATCCATCCATCCATCCTATCCATCCGTCCATCCATCCATCCGTCCATCCTCCGTCCATCCATCCATCCATCCATCCATCTATCCATCATCCATCCATCCATCCGTCCGTCCGTCCATCCATCCGTCCGTCCGTCCGATCCGTCCGTCCGTCCGTCCATCCATCCATCCATCGTCCTCCGTCCGTCCGTCCATCCATCCATCCATCCATCTATCCATCATCCATCCATCCATCCATCCATCCGTCCGTCCGTCCGTCCGTCCGTCCATCCATCCATCCATCCATCCGTCCATCCATCCATCCGTCCGTCCGTCCGTCCGTCCGTCCGTCCATCCATCCATCCATCCGTCCGTCCATCCATCCATCCATCCATCCATCCATCCATCCATCCTCCGTCCGTCCGTCCGTCCGTCCATCCATCCATCCATTCCATCCTCCATCCTATCCATCCGTCCATCATCTATCCATCCATCCATCCATCCATCCATCCATCCGTCCATCCACCCATCTTCTTCCACTTATCCAGCTGACAGGCTCCAGACTAAACAGAACTAAAGCAAACAAAAGGAATGAATCAGACCAGTTAAACAAAGCCAATAGGAATTTGGCTTAACCCAGAATAAAACGGACTAAAACCGGAAAAGTGGAATAAAAGAGCAGCTGGCGCTAATCTGGCCTAAGTGGAACAACCCAGTCTGAACAAATCACAGATTCAGATGAAGTGGACCAAATCAAACCAAATGGGATGTTCAGACCAACACATGGAAAGCTAGGAAAAGACTTAATCCAGAGTAAAACCAAATAAAACGCTCTTCTTTTCTGTCTTTCGGCCTACTCCCATTCAGAGGGAGTTCTTTCTCCCCAGTGACTCCAAATGACTGATTGGGATTCTCTTTCATGTTTTATGGATTTAGCTGCACACTCACATTGAAATCACTTTTAATTGGCCAAATCAAAACAACGTGGAACAATTGGATCAAAGCAGAATAAACAGAAAAAGGGACAAAACAAAACCACGTTTCCTGAACTACCTGTCATGAACTGGATTAATCCAGATGAAACTGGACAAAATGTATTAGACCATCATACTGTGGTCACCTAGCAGTTCACTGTGTTTAATGCCTCAACAGAGACGTCTCGGACAGACTGATGCAGATTACTGCTAAGAGAAACGCTGCGACACAGAAGATCAATCAACTTATTGATAAATAAAGGAGACGAAGAGAGAAGAGAAAAGAGGAGCAATCTGTGCGACGGGCGTGTGTTTCATCATCAAAGAGGCTCTTCAGTGTTAATCTAAGACACCCATGAAGCTGGCACAGAAGCTAACGTGGGCAGTGCCAAGCTAGCAAACACACACACACACACACACACACACACACACACACACACACACACACACACACACACACACACAGTCACATGAGGGTGACTCATGGCAACAGCAGTGTGAGTGTGTGTGTGTGTATGTGTGTGTGTGTGGGTGTACAGTATATGTGAATGTGGGTGTGCAGTGCGTGTTTGTGAGAAGCACAGCGTGAGTGTGTGGGAGACAATGTGTGTGTCTGTGTGTTTGCACAGCTAGCTTTATGAGGACCGAAGTGAGTTTAAGACCTTGGGAAAAAGGACATTTCTTTCAAAGTGAGGACGTTCAAATCAGTCCTCTCTTCAGGACTGTTTGACGGGTTCAGATCACAGACTGTGTGAAACTCGTGGTCACAGTGGAGTCACCCACTGGTTTCTGAAATCTCATTTTGCAAACTCCACTTTAGCTTGATGGCTGTTTTCATCCCGATTTTACTGGAAACAGAGGCGACAGTCTTTGGATGAAGGGTAGAGTGGAGAAAAGGGAGAACACCAGCAAGCCTGGTTAGATGCATCGATGCATTGCAAAGACACAGACACCTGCTAAATAACATCTAGATAAGCAGGCAATTACCTCACAACAAGTCATTTTGAAGCCATATTATTTGTCAGAACAGAGTCTAATTAAGTGGCTCAAATTAGCGGAGCTGAAAGTTGTTATAAAGACAGAAATTAGCTATAGACACCACAACATGTTGCATGTATCAGGCTGTAACGTGTTTATTTCTGCTGTGTTTTTAACGTCCGAGTCTCATGTTTGAAGCCAGATTCA